TGCTGCAGAGGTCAGAAGAGGGCTTCAGATTCCCCTAGAACTGGAGTTAAGAACGATTCATAGCTGCCATGTGGGTGCTGAGAACCGAACCTGGGTCCTCTGCGTCAGTGCTCATATATTTTGTTCCTTAAACTAGTTGACTAAACTATGACCATAGAATTTTAAGATTATGTCTATATTATTTTTGTCTCCTCCTTTATATATCGTAACAAACCTGCACAGACCTTCATCACATGCTTAGGCTTTCTAACTTTTTTCTATTTTAGAAAATATCTGCTTTCCCATATCCTTTTAGCACCTTTTACATTCTCATTTTTAAAATAATTGAGACATAATAACATTAACAAATAAATTTTCCTACTGTTGTGAGACTTCTTTCCCTGGGGATGGTAAGCAGTGCTTATTCTCTTTCAAGATTCTAGTGCCAAGCCAATGTTTGTTAAAGTTTTACTGGGGAACCAATGAATTTATTAAGCTTACTTACCGAGATAACTGAGGGGTTGCTTAGATATATGTATGACCCGAGGGTATGCACACTGGAAAGGCTTTACCCAGTATGGGTCATGCCTTTGCTTCCTAGCCTTCCCCGGATTGTTTACTTTAGCCCTCCCCAAATTCAGGAGGCCATGTATGATTAGGGCCTAATTACATACAGTTGGCTGGGAAGAGTGGCTGGATACACTGGTGAGGGTCCAGTGACCCTGCTTGGCCCTCTTTTAATGAATGAGCATGACTGTGAACAAGCAAAATTGTGACAATGTTTAGAGATCGGGCTCAGCTGAAGTCGTGATGATGGTAGTTATTTCATGCAGAAGGGACTGCTGTATAGTATCATCTTATTAAAAGAACCTGGAATTTAAAAGAATTTGGTGCTAGGATCCACATATGATGGAGAACATATGTTGCTTCTTTTTCTAAGTCTGTGTTACTTCACTTAGTATAACAGTTTCTAGATCCATCCATTTACCTGCAAATTTCATTATTTCATCTTTCTTTACTGCTGAATAGAACTCCGTTGTGTAAATATACCACATTTTTATTAACCACTCCCTGTGTTCACAAACCAGCCCTGGCTCTTACAATCTTTCTGACTCCTCTTCACAAAGGTCCCTGAACTGTGGGTAGGTGAGGTTCCATATAGGAGTCCCATCCTACACTCTACAGTCTCTTATTTTTCTAAACTTGACCAGTTGTGGCCTTCTGTATAGTACTCTGATGTACATAGACACCTCATTGGTGAGAGTTGAGGAGTACATTAGCCCCCTCTCTACCCCTTATTCCACTATGTTCCATGAGCCTTAGTTGAAGAGATTTCGGCTGCAGATGTGTCACTAAGTACTGGGCATCTCCCAGGCATATGTTCTCTGTTCCTGTCTAGATGTGCAACTCTGCAGTAGCCCCCATCTGCTACAAAAAGAAGCTTCTTTGCTGAGTGCAGAATGGCATGATTGTCATTCTAAGGGAGGTCCCTTCTATCTGGCACTGTATTCCCTGCCAACTGGTTCCCAGATATACATATGCATTAATAAGCTGGTTTTTTAATGTTGCCTCGGCTGGTGTTTTTATCACAGTAACAGAGAAGTAACTAACACAGCAGTTTTAGGGAGATGGGTTTACTTTGTTCATAATTCTATCATTTTGGGGAAGTCAACGTGGCAGGAATTTGAAGCAATGGATCATATTATGTCTGCAGTCAAGACCAGAGTAGAGAGCAACAAATTAATGCATGGATGCTAGTGTTCAGCTCACTTTCTCCACTTACATAATCCAGGATGCCTGCCCGGGAAATTGTGCCGTGCACAGTGTGCAAGTCTTTCAAGTTTAATCTACACAATCAAGATAATTCCCCACAAACATCCTTACAGAACAACCTAATCTAAAGTCTTTCACTGATATTCCCTTCCCAGGAGATTCCAAATGGGGTCAAGTTAATTAAGAATAAACATCACAAGCAATGACTCCCATCTAACATTTCCAGGTATCATGCAGTTCTCATATTTATAAGCTGCTTTTAAGAAAAAACTCTTTATTTTAAAATTATTTTTGATATATTTTAAATTATTTTTAGCTTTTGTACATTTCATACAACATTTCTTATTCAAATTTAGACCCCCTTTCCCAACCATGCTGCCCCTATCAGACCTCATGCATTCCACCATAAATGTTAACTCCTATTCAGTCAAACATTTGGGCCCAGATGTCCTTTGGTGCAAGTTAATCCACTGGAGTCTAGAGAACCTATCTAGAGATCATAAGTAAGGTCTACTCTCCCTCATTCAGTAGTATTTTTAGTAATAAATTGTTACACACACACACACACACACACACACACACACCTCACACATCTCTCAAGAAGGCTTTTTGTTCGTTAAGAACTCCAACTGAACTAGATTTCTGGTTCTAAGTTCGATTTAATAATGTTTCGACCCAATAATAATTTGAAGTAGAATGAAAGTACAAAATTTGATAAATGAATACTGATTGGTAAATAATACATAGGAACTTTGTAAATAAAATATAGGGGTATAAGAACATCGATCTGAAATTGAAGGAAATTGATGTTTTATGGGGTTGATTAGGTCAATCTTTTATTAAATTGCTACTTTGTATGATCTAGATTTTCATGTTGTATTATGAAAATCTTGCCCATTACAATTTACAGGGTAAATAAATTCTGTAGTTTGAATTCTCACTGAGAAAGGGCACTGAAATTCATACTAGACAAGTAATTTTTAACTTACATGTTACTGATATAGAGCAGATGCTCAATACCCACTGACATCACTGTCTTTATCATCTATATACCTAAAATCTATCTGTCTATACATCCATGTGTTTATATCTATGTGGAAAGTCGATCATAGCCATGAAATTGGATTTTAACCAGGAATCACAACAGATATTAGATAAGTTACATTTCTTTTTCCATCAAATGAAAAGCTTTTTTATAGTTTATACACCGAGACATGGAACATGTATGTGATATCCAAGCAAGTCATTCCTCTGGAAAATTCAGATTTAGTTTATGTCCTCGGCCCTGTGCACTGCACATCTCCCTCTCTATTTCTTTTGTATTCTTCCTGAAATTGTGTCTCACACAGAGCTTTCAGATATGCTTTCCAGTAATGTCTTTTACCTTGCTTACTTGTGTAGTTAATTGCAGCTTTTAGAGCTTAGTGTCAGAAGTTACTTTTAGTTTTAATATTTCTAAAGACATGTTGCTGAAATATTTAGAATTTAACCTTGAAATACACAACCTATGTTAACAACTTGAGAGACAGTTTGAAATACATGTCTCTACTCTTTTAAGTAATATAGAAACATGTTTTCTGTTCCCAAATAATGGGAGACAATAGCATAGCAACAAAAACCGTTATGCTCTTTTATCACTCTGATTATTTTAATTTTATAAAACTAAAGTTATTGTAACAAACAAAACTTTTCTTCAATTTTGCTATTGCAAGTATATTTAGATAATCAGATATTTTGTTTCCAGTAAGCACTTTATATTTAGGCTAGAAGGCATTTATTTCACCTAATTTAAAAATGCAAGCAAGTGCCTTTTAATTTTATTTTGCTTGTTAGGGAGAATTTTCAGTACTGGTAAGCTCTTTAGTTATGCAGGAATTGATTTTGAATTAGCTTGTGTCCTCTGATTGTAGCTGCCATCATTACCTATAAATGCTAAGAAAATTGTTTATCAAAAGTATGTGTAAGTGATTGGGCCACTGATATTGACTCAAAAAGTGTCATTTCTGTCTAAGTGCATTCTTTATTAGATAAAGATATTAGCCAAGTGTATAAAGTTCCCTGTGAAACTGATAACTGACTTCAAGTTTAATTTCTACTTTGTTTTAGATAATTCAGATAGTCAGTGCTGCAGACCGAGATCTTTCACCTGCTGGGCAGCAATTCTCCTTTAGATTATCCCCAGAGGCTGCCATCAAACCAAATTTTACAGTTCACGACTTCAGAAGTAAGTATAACCACTTACAGGTTTACCTCTTAACGTAGTTTTGTTAAATGGCACGGGGAAGAAATCAGTGCTTCTAAAAGCCCCATTTCACAAAACAGAAGCCTATATATTAGAATTACAAAATCTCTAACTAGTAGCAAATTAAATACTCTATAGAGATGATCTATAGTACAGTTAATTACTATTATGAAAGGTCAAGGCATCTTAATGCTTCAAGGAAATAAAAAGCTATCTGGGAAATTGAATGCCTTCTTGTTTTGAATATAACATTATCAAAATACATATATATTTTTACATGTAAAAAAAGATCAATTCTACATTGTTTTATTTGAGTAATATAAAGCACATCAGGACTTGTGAATAGTTACATTGCAGTTACAATGACATAGGACTTATTCAAACAGTATTATTCCTCAAAATTACACTAAATAAAGTCAGCCTTATAGCATTTGTACAGAAATGATACACAAGCCTTTAATACAGTGTCTAAAATGTTTTTGTCATCATGTTTAGTCTTTTATTTCTACAATTATCATTACCATCACCGATTGTGCTACTCCTACAGCTATCACATCTGCAAGCATTAGAGTCACTCCAGAAATATAGACTATTGGACTGGAAGTATGTATGTTCCTCAGTCCAGGGTGAGGTCACATCTCATTGATCTCATCTTATAAGGTGAAAATATTCTGTTAAGAAGCAGGTACTGCACATAACCTGCTAAGCACTACACTTTAGCCTACCCTGCCTTAAGTGTGATCACAATTCACATTATGTGACATTGGGAAAATCATCTCACACAAAATACATTTTATAATAAATTTTCAACTTTTTTTCATGTTTGTTAGCTATTCTGTTGCAGGTGAAAAACCGAGTAGTTGTGTACACTTTTTTGTCATCATGAAACTGAAATGTGTAAGCTGAACGTTTGAAAAGTCAGAACTGTGTGTATTACTATTTGCAACCATCAGGGCTGGAGAAATGCTTAGTGGGAAAGAGAACTGGCTGCTCCTGAAGAGGACCCAGCTTGGTTCCCAGCACTCACTTGGGTAGTTAACAACAGTTCCTAGCACAAAGATGGTGCAATTACATACATGCACGCAAAATACTCATATACATAAAATAAAAATAGATAAATCCAAAATATTAAAATATAGATGTTAAATCATTATTTCTGTGGCTTTGGAAATTAACCACCTCTTTGTATCTGTATTCTTAAGATAATATTAAAATGGTAGAATATAGTGAAAAGCTAAAGTTTCAACTGATTTTGTTTTTTAAACAAGTGGAAATATGATGATATTGATGATGGTGATGATTTCTCCTTAATACCTCTCATGTCAGTGAGGGTAAAGAATCTACCAAAATCTGATTGGCCAAATTCAAGTTCAGTGGTCGACTGTGACTGAAATAGTAACAGATATCTTTTTCTAATTGCATTTATTATTTTATGTGTATGAGTGCATTGCCTTAATGTATGTAAGTGCACCCGTGCTGTACAATGCCTAGAGATGTTAGAAGAGGGTGTCAGATCCCTACATTTCTTAAAGTATTTTATTTAAATGAGAAGTACATTTGTCCAATTTTTATCTCATTCCCAAAATTATATTAAAGTACAAATATAAAAAAGCTGTAAAAAGAATTTTCTCCCTAGGAATTTTTTAACTGAAATTATGGTATGTATAAAAGAACTTCTGCAGGGCTGTAGAGATGGCTCAGCGGTTAAGAACACTGGTTGTTCTTTCAGGAGACCTGGGTTTGAATCCCAGTACCCACATGGCCGCTACCAACCAACCATCTGTCACTCCAATTCCAGGGGATCCGACGGCCTCTTCTCTCCTCCGGGGCATTGCACGACACAGGAGCATTTAGCTGCATGCATGAAATAGACTCATACACATAAAATAAAAATAATTTAAAAATTAATAAAACACTTCTGCTTGTGTTTGAAAATAAATAAGAACAAATGCGTTCTTCCTGATATTTTTTCAATAGAATTATCATTGAATTTAGGGAATGGAGAGGTGGCTCAGCAGTTAAGAATACTGGCTACTCTTGCAGAGGAACTTGGTTTGTTTCCCAGCACCCACATGACAGATAACAACGTCTGTAACTCCAGTTCCTGAGGGTCAGACGCCCTCCTTTCAACTCCATGGGCACTGCATGACATGGGTGGAGTTACATGTAGTCAGGCAGTACACTCATACTCGTAAAATAAAACAAAAATAATAAAAAATAAAACATTTTTAAAAATAACTTTACAATAAAAATTTTCTTTTGTATTAGTGAAAGTACATGCCATTGTTGATGATTTTATTAGAATTTCAATGAATTACTATTCTCACTACAAATAGGATTGCTTTATTTCATGGTGTTTCAGATTTTTAGTGTTTTCTTTTTCACATTTCTTAGTGTAGCTGAAGTAAAAAAAAATAACAAGGAAAAAAGATTCAATATAGGGTATTTCTTTTTTAATATTGTATTTATTATTTTTATTTTATGTGTATAAGTATATTACCTGCATTTGTATACGTGTACCCATGTCCTGTAATGCCTGGAGAAGTCAGAAGAGATTGTCACATCACCTGAAACTGGAGTTACAGTCAGTTGTTAGCCACCATGTGGATGCTATTATTCTAACCTGGGTGCTCTGCATGAACAGCCAGTGTTCATAACCCCCGAGCTCTCTCCAACCCTGTCAATATAGAATATTTCTTTTTCAAATATTTTTCAATATTTTAAATATTCACAGTATGAGACCTGTGTATATATAATGTATTAATAGGGAAAAAGTTTCCATTTGAAAGTCAATTGGAATTTAATATATTTTATTGCATTTATTTGTTTGGTGTGTGTGTGTGTGTGTGTGTGTTTGTTGTATGTGTGCATGTGCCTGTGGAGGTCAGAGAACAACTTGTGGAGCTCAGTTTGCTCCTTTACCATGTGGGTCCCAAGGATGGAATCCAGGTAGTCAGATTTGGTGACAAGCACCTTTTTCTACTGAGTCATATCATCAGGCTGGATTAATACATTTTAAATAATAACTTGTTTCAAAAGATATTTTATATATTCTACTTGGTAATCTCTGAGTTTCTAATGTATTTGAGAACATTCACAAAAGTCTATTTTTCCTCAATTAGAAGTTCATGTCAGAAAGAGAAAAATGGGACAACCCAATTTCTAAATTCTTGTTGCAAATCTGTATTCTTTCTGAATGGAAAATTTAATCCTTTCACCAGATATGATGAGTGTTTTGTCTTTCCCTGAGGATTGTTTTAATTATCTCTGATTGCATTTTGACAGCTTCATAATGACATAATAAATAATTAAAATAGGGATGCACTTCACTGATTCAGAAGGAGCTTCCTACTGCTCCTTATATGCTAATTTAGGACTTGAAGTGAACCTCATAGTAACTATGTTATCATAAATGTGATGTTTTGCAGACAACACAGCTGGAATTGAAACCCGAAGAAATGGTTACAGTCGCAGGAATCAAGAACTGTATTTCCTCCCTGTTGTAATAGAAGACAGCAGCTACCCTGTCCAGAGCAGCACAAACACAATGACTATTCGAGTTTGTCGATGTGACTCTGATGGAACCATCCTGTCTTGTAATGTGGAAGCAATTTTTCTGCCTGTAGGACTTAGCACTGGGGCTTTGATTGCCATCCTACTATGCATTGTTATACTCTTAGGTTGGTTTTCCACATTAATCACTTCACCTTTACTCAGTCCCTTGTCTATTTGTGCCTGTAATTTTGTTTACTGAGCTGCTTAGATCATTGTGTTTTTAATTGATTTACTATAAAGCTTCTTTTTCTTTTTCTTTTTTTTTTTTTGTCGTTTTGAGACAGGGTCTCCCTGTAGCCCCAGCTGTCCTGGCACTTGCTATGTAGACCAGGCTGGCCTTGAACTCACTGAGATCCACCTGCCTCTGTCTCCTGAGTGCTGGGATTAAAGGCGTGTGTTTGTTTTGTGTATAAGTGTATTGCTTATATGTATGTAAGTGCACCATGTCATGCAATTGCCAAGGAGGTCAGAAGAGGGCATTGGATACCCCAAAACCATCCATTCAAGATCTTTTTATAGAAGCTAGACCTAGGTCTCCTCACTCCTTGCAACTGGCTAATCATTAATTTTGTGTGACAAGGGAATCAATAAACTCTTCCCATCAAATATCTGTAATTTCATGGCACTTCTGTGGAAAATCAAACACACTTTGCCTTTATCCTTGTGTCATTTTTATAGAAAAAGCAGGCATGTTGGTGAAAGCTGAGTATTATTCTATGTGCACTCCCTGAATATATAGACACCATTATTTTGATTGAGACTACTGAGTCAACTAGGAACAAAGCAATGTTATAATAATGAACTGAACTCCATTTTTCCATATCTTGTTCCACAAAGTCAGCTTGAAAATCAGGCATTTGGTTTGGAGAAGGAATACATGTGGTATCACTCAGAACTGAAGTAATCAAAGGTCTTAGCTGGCATGATTGTGAAGCTAAGACCCTTACTTTCTATATTTATTTTCCTTCCTTCCTTCCTTCCTTCCTTCCTTCCTTCCTTCCTTCCTTCCTTTCTTCCTTCCTTCCTTCCGTCTCTCTAATTTATTGTTTTTAGTGTTCATTATCTCACAGAAGATGATGAAAGGAAATGTTTTAATAAAAATGTTTTATAATTAGAAAGGCAGCCAAGAATACTACATACATATAACTTTAAATCAAAATATTTAAGCCTTTCTGTAACAATTCTTCCAAATATTTATGATTATAACATTCTTCTATTTTTACATTGGAATATATTCTGTGATTCTAAACTGCTAAAATGTACATAGTAAATTATTTCATATTATTAATAGTATTCATGTGATTTCTTGGTGTTACCATTTCAAAAAGATGACATTATCAAATAAAGCTCCCAGGGTTGCACATAGCTCTACTGATTATAGTATTTTGACTATGAACATAGTATGTGGTCATTAAGGAAATTCAACTATCCTTTATTTATTCTTAAGATTCATGAAGAGATGAAATAATATATCTGCTCCCATGTAACAAGCTGAAATTTTTGTCTTCTTTTAGCCATAGTTGTGCTGTATGTAGCCCTGCGAAAGCAGAAGAAGAAAGACACCCTGATGACTTCTAAGGAAGACATCAGAGACAATGTCATTCACTATGATGACGAAGGAGGTGGGGAAGAGGACACCCAGGCTTTCGACATTGGGGCTCTCAGAAATCCCAAAGTAATCGAAGAGAACAAAATTCGAAGGGATATAAAACCAGACTCCCTCAGCTTAACTCGCCAGAGACCTCCAGTAGAAGACAACACAGACATAAGGGACTTCATTCATCAAAGGCTGCAGGAAAATGATATGGACCCAGCTGCTCCACCATATGACTCCTTGGCAACATATGCTTATGAGGGCAATGGATCTGTGGCAGAGTCACTCAGCTCCATAGACTCCCTCACCACAGAAGCTGACCAGGACTATGACTATCTGGCAGACTGGGGACCCCGCTTTAAAGTTTTAGCAGACATGTTTGGAGAAGAGGAGAGTCATAGCCCTGATAATGTTACTTAGGGGAGGAGAGAAAGCTGTTGCACATCTAAGAGGAGAAATTTTTAACAGAAGAAACAAAAGAAAAACCACATCCAACCCACACACATGTGCTCACGCACACACACATACACACACACACACACACACACACACACACATACACACACACACAAAACCTTCACACACATACATGCACACACAGAGGCTCCCGGGTCTTACAGGACAAGATACCTTTGATTATCCAGTTTCTAACAGTTATCTATTTATCTTATTGTCACTTTTGGTTTATTATCCCCACACAAGATGAATCCTGTGGTACTTGCTTTGTTTTGTTTTGTAATTTCAGAAACACACTGGGACAAGCTCAGGCCTATTAAATACAGTTACTGACATGACAACCTAGAATGAAGATAGCTTTGTGGCATCACAGTAGAAGAGTGTGAAATTTTTCTTAATTCCACTAAAGTGCCTATTGAAACTCTTCTCATTTAAAGTGGTGTACGCAACACTCTGCTGTGATGGCTTGGCAATATTCAGAGATAAGGTGGAACAAAGCAAACACCATCCCTAAGTCCAGAAGCAATAGTGACATGCTGACTCGCATTCCTTTCGAAAACAAGGACTGCTTCCCAAACTCCATCTTCTTCTAATTCAAAGGTTTTTCTTTTGTAAACTGTAAACTGGAACTTATTTGTTTTTCTTACTTTTTCAGAAACTGGAATAAATTACATTATTAAATTCAATATGTAAGTCATAAATTCTAAAAATAATGTTTAATCATATCATTAATTCATGTAAAAGATGTTAATTAAAATGTTAGCTTTTCCAAAAGAATAAAATAAAATTTTCAGAAGGAAATAAAAAATCCCTCTTTATAAAGAGAGGCCTCAGGGCTCAAATACACGTTAAAATAAATATTGGTTTGTTTAATTCTATACTGGTGTGTGGAAATTGGTTTTAAAAAGTCACCAAACCATTTGCATTTAACCATAGGTGAGATTTCAGCTTCTGTTTCTATGAAAATTTCTGAAAAAAAAATATACAATTAATTTAAAAACGGGTGAAAAATCAATATTTCGATTCTTAGAATTTCTTCCTATCTAATGATTCTTTGATGAACAATTAAAACAAAGTACACATTAAATAATATTTTAACACATATACAAATGTTCATTACATAACACTGAACAAATAAAATTCAGGAATGTTAAACTTCAGAAAGTTAAAACCAATGACTAAATCCCAAAGGGCACAAAATTGCAAACTTAGGCAACTGATTCATTTACTCCGGTGACATGAATTTTAACTTTGTAAATTAAGTTATTAGATGGAGGTTGGAGTTACCCCCTCAGTGTCTCATCTACAATAATTTTATGTAAATGATTCTATATAGTTCTCTGTAAGAATCTTTCCACTCAATTCAAAGTACTAAATGTTATGAGCATACTAGTTCACTATGCTTTCTTTAGTTCCACATGGATTGTACATTCTCTAGAAATGCACAGATACAACAAATGCAAACTTGCATAAAGTAAAATATGCTCTGAACAATGTAACTATAAGAAGTGACTGCTTCTATGTACTCTATAAATAGGGAAAAATTAAAGTTGCTTAAATATCCATGCAGAAAATATGGTTGATATCTAGTTCTTTTGCTAAAACTTCTGTGAATATTATTACACTTGCGAGGCTATGAAATTTAAAAAGTCACACACAGGCAATTTATGTAGGAATATAGAGAACTGGAAAATAATCTTAACTCTATTCATTCTCAAATACTTCAGAATTTGTTTTTGCTATAGGAATGGACTCATTTTGAGTCTTCTTTTCTCCCTTGTGAATGACTTTGAACTTGTTTGACCCCATTTGATACATCATTTTACTTTTGTCTTTCCCCTAGGATTAAATTTGCATGTTGTCAATATTATTTAGTAATTTACACTTTTGGATATATATATATATATATATATATGTTTTATAAAGTTTATGATGTTATTATCATACTGGAGATGAAAAACTAAGAAAACGTCTACATTTGCCTAAGCACCATAAATCACTGTCATATGTTATAAATCACTTCTCAAAGGTTAATTTGCAAGATAAAATCCTAATGAGACATAATACTTGTCAGAAGATATTACATTATGAATTTTGAAAGGGGCTATAACTGTCTACCTATAGTCATTAATAGAAGCCATGTGACTTGGAGAAAACTTGGGAGGCAGATCATTTCAAACCATATGACAAAGAAGATAGGAAATTACACCAAGTACAGTTTTTAGTTTTTATTGAACTTGTATTTTAAAATATCTCATTTATATTTTTTCTATACTGCTTCATTAGTTTTTTAAGGTTATTATCACAGAATATCACAGAATTGGCTTTAGGCAACAGAAATAGATGCCCTCAGTTCTGAGTGTTTGGATGCTTCTGAGAGACTTTCCTGTGTGTTATAGAAAGCTCCGTCTCTGTTTTCACTGTAGTTTCTCTCTCTCTGGCTGAATTTCTTTTCAGCTCACGAAGACAACTTTAATATTAAGTCAGTTTTTATCCATGAAACCTCTTTTACCTTGTTTACTTCTTGAAAGGCCTTATCTTCAAAGACAGTCACAATCTGATTTACTTGAAATTGAAATTTCAGCCTGTGGGTTCTGTTTATACCAGTATGTAGACATTAAGAGTTGTTTTTTAATATCAAATTTATAATAACTAATAAAATAAACATACAAAAACTAAGCTAAACATAAACTAGAACACTCATATAGAATGTCGAAATAAGATCTTTTGGTGCTCAATTATAGATGTTACAATATATTCTTAAGTCTAATGTAAGGACAAAGCCTAATCTTTCAACACTTGCAATTATATTGGGATTCTTTTAATTTATAAAAGCAGAGTCAGTCGGCATGGTCATGCATGCCTTTAATCACAGCACTCCGGAGGCAGAGGCAGGCCAATCTCTATGATTTCAAGGCCAACATGGTCTACATAGTGAGTTCCAGGACAGCTGAGGCTACAGGGAGACCCTGTCTCAAAAATACCAAAAAATAAATAAATAAAAGAGTCAGTCATTAGCTGTCATTAAGCATCAAGCAATAAAATAGTTCAGCATTTACACAGGAGATTATATTAACAATAATTAAACCAGAATTTTGTTATTGCCGTGCATGTTTATCTTCATAGAACCATATGTATATATAAATATATAAACTATATATTTCCTTCAATTTTATTCAAAGAGGTATAACATCAACAGACAAAAGTGAAGTACTGTTATTGATGTCCTAGATACAATCAACAATGGTCTTTGACATTCTCTATTTGCTAGAAACTTCTTAAGTCACCAAGGCCTTGGCCTCCAAATTGCTGTATTTAGTGCTGTATACATTTCCTCTGAAATTTTCTTACCCTTAAATTCTAGTATCAATTGTATGAAGTGTGTCAAGTAAGTTACATACTAACTACACTAAGTTTAAGAATCATGAATATTTTAACACAATGTACATAAACTTTGAACTTCGGATTTGATGGAACATACATTAAAATTTACCACTTCTACTACAGCAAAGACTCACAACTCTTTATATATGTAAAATTTCTGCTGGAAAATCAAAAGGTAAGAAGTTTATATACAGGAAAAGAGAAAAGCCCTAAAGTAATTACAATGAGATGTTGAGAGAAAGAAGGGAAACAAATGACAGGAAGAAAAGTTTACAAAGGGTATGATATTTCCTTTAAAAGTCTCTGTATTCTGCTATTTATGTTAAGGCCTACCTAATCAAGTTAGTGTCCCCTGATGTCCCTAAGTGCAAGTTCATCCACTGGGGTCTAGTCAACCTGTCTAGGGTCACTCCCTTAAAGAAGATCAGCTCTTCCTCACCTAGTAGTAATCAATGATTAAAATGTTGTGTATGAAATATACAAAATTTCAATAAAAAGAGAATCACTGGGAAAAATGTCTCTACAAAAGTGTCAGTAATCAGTCTTTACAATAAGAATTCAAGGGTTGTTATGCAACCCATGGGAGAGTACACAGTTGACTTGCAAGAAACCATGGCTTTAATCTCCAGAACTAAATATGTTGAGATATTGTAAAAGCAGACATAAATAAAACGTTATTTTATTTTAGTGAAACCCTAATTATGTGTCTATCTAAAATAGAAGTGAGAAGTTAAAGAGATGGCTCAGTTTCTAAGAGCACTGGCTGTTCTTTCAGAGGACCCAGGTTCACTTCCCAGCACCCACAATGTGACTCACAACTATCTGAAATTCCAGTTTCAGGGGGATTCAATGCATACTTCTGGCCTCTGTGCGCATTGCATGACATAGTTGCACTTACAAACTTGCAGTTAACACATTCATAGACATAAAATAAAAATGTCTTTAAAAAAATTAAAAATAGATGTGATAAAAATGATCAGACAGTTTTGTTACGAAGAAAAAATAATTGTGTGATATAAGAGGGTTAATTTCATAAACACTCATTACTTGAAATTTTCTTTTTATTTCTTAGCCTCTCATTTTTATAGTTGACTATTCAAAACATATCTGGAACCTTTTCCCTTCATATTATAAAAGATATTTGGGAGGTTAGAAAAGACCCAGTAGTTAAGAATTCTTGCTGCCCTTGAAGAGGACCTGGTATGAGTTTCTAGAATCCACATCAGACAGCACACAGCCTGTAACTGCAGCTCCAGGGAATCTTCTGAAATCAACAGTACCTGCACTTAAATGTATAAAAACTCACACCCAGATATACACATAGACACATAATTAAAATATAATACATTTATATTTTTTCTATTATATCCTGTCATCCAATCCACTGGTAAAAAA